TATACTATGGGGTTGGGGGAGGTAAGGAAAAAGGGAGGTTTCCAAAAGAACTTTCATATGCTAAAGAAGACTCACAGGATACTGGAGGCCTTGCCATTGTCAAGTTAAGGTTGTTACCCCTCTAGTAAGGCATTAACATGAAGATAGTGGGGAACTTCCTGGAGGAACATTACACTCTGCCCACTTCAAGTATCTGTCGATGGGCTGCAGGTTATAAAGTCTTTAACTGTATCTACATTTCCTTCTGGAAGCTAGGTTATTGATGATAGTATCGAATGCTTTGTTCTTGTAGATTGCTAAGACATTTGTAAACTGAGGGAGACTTTGTAAGTTAGTTTTTCCTTTAGGGCAGGCTCCTGGAGCTTTTTGCCTAGCCGCATCTACTCCCTTTCCCATCCTTGGTTCTTGGTAATCCAGGCAGCTCCTTCTTGAAAACTATGTGAAAAAAAAAAAAAAGAAAACTATGTGAAGAACTATGCTGTCTCAATGTTCAATTCTTTATCTCATTCAGATCATATCTCTGGCCCATAATCTTGTTTTTTTCTTTTCTTCCTCCATCTCTTCTCTTCTACTGGGTAGAAGTTACTGGAGGAAATCTAACTGATTGCATATTTGTAGTCCGTGGTAGGTGTAGAGAGGTGTGTATTTAATTATTTGTAGGTCTGTTTTCAAAATAAGTTTATTTAAAGTATAAGAGCTCCCTAAAAGGTAAGCCTCAGTAACTGAGGGCAAAGATATGGGCATGCCTGCTTTTAGAATTGAAGCTAACAGAGATCAAATTTATGAATAAAGCAACCATCAGCGGAAGGCACTGTGCTAACATGATTTGAGAATGCGCGGCTGGTGGAATGTATCCCAGAGTTACTCAGTGAGACCAGGATGTCTCACAAATTCAGACAAGGCCTTCAGACCAGCTCTGAAATCTAATTAAAGTAATCAGGATGTAGACTTGGAAATGTGACCCCAATGGAAAGATATAAATACCACTATTATCTACTCAATTGTACCATAACCTGCTAGGAGTTTCTTTATATGAAGTCGTAACAGAAGGCAGCTGAGTCTTCAGGATATTCATGAAAAGGAAAGTCTAAAAGTGAAAAAATGTGTGTTTGCCGATATGTCTCCAGCACAGTCCAGGGCAGTGGGGCTCTGCGGCCTGGAACCACATGTATTGCCAACCCTGTGACCTGGGCAAACTACTCCTTTGCAAAATGGAGATAATAGTGCCTATCTCAAAAAGTTGTTATGATCAGTGAATGAGCTAATAATGTAGAGCATACAGAACAGAACCAGTACCACATAATAAAAAATTACTAAAAAAATTAAGTGTAGGGCGCCTGGGTGCCTCAGTTGTTTAAGTGACTGCCTTCGGCTCAGGTCATGATCCTGGAGTCACGGGATCGAGTCCCGCATCAGGCTCCCTGCTCACGGGGGGAGTCTGCTTCTCCCTCTGACTCTCCCCCCTCTCATGCTCTATCACTCTCTCTCTCAATAAATAAATAAATAAATATTTTTTAAAAAATTAAGTGTAATAATTATGATTATAATTATTTCTTTGAAAGCCTTATCTGCGCTCTCTCCCCCTGCCCCCCATCCCGGGGAGACTAGCATCAGTTTACTATAACCTCTTGGTACAGGCTTTAAGATTACCCACCTCCTTTCACTTGCTCTGTAGTCATACAGCACCCATTCTGCTGGGACATTTGGTTCTCAAGCTAATGGGCATAAGAATCACCATAGGCCGCTTCCCTGACTTCAGAAAGATTCTAATTGAAGTGGTTTGATTGGGGTCTCTCAGCTGTATTTTATTTTTTTAAAGATTTCATTTATTCGACAGAGACACAGCGAGAGAGGGAACACAAGCAGGGGGGGTGGGAGAGGGAGAA